GTCTGGACTGGAACTCAAGCAGGTCAGGAAGCAGAAGCTGATGCAGAGGCCAAGGAGGGATGTTACTTACTAGCTTGCTTCCTTATAGAACCCAAGACTACCAGCCCAGGGATGGAACCATGCACAAGGGGCCCTCCCCCACCTTGATCACTAATTGAGAAAATGCCTTACAGCTGGATCTCATGGGGCACTTCCTCAACTTTCTCCTTTCTCTGTGATAACTCCATCTTGTGTCAAGTTGACACAAAACCAGCCAGTACAATTGACCCCTTGTTCACTTGACACACAAACACATCACTATTAAGCCTCAACCCTTACTTTCTTATTCACCCCCAAGATCTAAATAACTTTAAAAGTCCCAGTCTTTGCAAATTCTTACATATTAAAATTTCAATCCCTTTAAAAAGTCTTTTTACAATTAAATTCTGTTAACTTTGGGCTCCACTAAAATACTTTCTTCTAGAGGGAAAAGTATCAGGGCACAGTCATAATCAAAAGCAAAATCAGACTTCAACCATCCAATGTCTGGGATCCAACACAATCTTCTAGGCAACTCCAAGGGCTTAGGTCACTTCTCCAGCCCTGACCTTTGTAGCACACACCTTGTCTTCTAGGCTCCAACTGCCTGTACTCCACTACTGCTGCTGTTCTTGGTGATCATCTCATGGTACTGGCATCTCCAAAGCACTGCTGCCTTCTGCTGCAACTAGGCTTCACCAACAGCCTCTCATAGACTGTCTTCATGGTGCCAAGCCTCAACACCTTTGCATGACCCCTTCAGTCCTGGGCCATCAATTTCAACTGTGGCTGCACCTTCTTCACCAATGGCCTTCCATGGTCTCTCACAGTGCCGAGTCTCAGCTGCTCTTCATGACCCCTTCATGTCTTCAAAACCAGTACCACCTGGGTGACTCTTACACATTACCAAGTCCAGCTGCAGCACAAGGCACAACCTTGGCTATCTCTGGAATACAGCCTCTTTGTGTTCTCAGAAAACACTTCCCAGAAGTTTTCACCTCAGTGATGATGATCTCTTCTTAATCACCACTAATTTCTTAGCTCCAGCTGACCAGCATCAATTGTCCCAGTAATGCAAAGGTTTTACTTTAGTAGTTCTGGTATCTTGTTAATCACAGCTGATTCTTTAGCCCCAACTAACCAAAACCACAGAATTCTTCACAATCAAAACAGCAAGGCCCTGATAAGAGTCTTTAATCTTCCCTCTGAAGTTTCACAAGTCAGGCCTTCATCTTCTGCATTGTTCTCAACATTATTTTCCAAGCTCCTACAGAACATCACACAGAGTTCTTAATATCCCAATGACTCTTCTAGCTCAAAGTTCCAAAGTCCTTCTACAGTCCTCCCCAAAACATGGTCAGGCTGTCACAGGAATACCCAACTCCTGATACCAATTTGTCTTAGTCAGGGTTTCTATTCCTACACAAGCATCATGACCAAGAAGCAAGTTGGGAAGGAAAGGGTTTATTCAACTTACACTTCCCACATTGCTGTTGATCACCAAAGAAAGTCAGGACTGGAACTCAAGCAGGTCAGGAAGCAGAAGCTGATGCAGAGGCCAAGGAGGGATGTTACTTACTAGCTTGCTTCCTTATAGAACCCAAGACTACCAGCCCAGGGATGGAACCATGCACAAGGGGCCCTCCCCTACCTTGATCACTAATTGAGAAAATGCCTTACAGCTGAATCTCATGGGGCACTTCCTCAAGAGAAGCTCCTTTCTCTGTGATAACTCCATCTTGTGTCAAGTTGACACAAAACCAGTCAGTACAGCTGCCTACCTTTGGTACCTAGAAGCTTTCCTCAGTTCTGAGGAGCTGAGCTTCTCATTGAATCTGCATAACAGACTGGGTACTTTCAATGGCCTCTTAAGTGTATATGGCACTTACTGGAATTCTCATGTTACTCTCCCAACAGTAATACACACTAGGCTGTTAAGAGATGGTTTTTCTTGTTTGTTTTGAGGATAGGTCTAACTCTGTAGCCTAAGATGGCCTGAAACAGCCCAGCCTAAATTTGAACTCATGGTAATCTTCCTACTTCAGCCTCCCAAGTGCTAGAATTATAGATGTGTGCTACCAGGCCTGGATGATGATATTTCTAAAAAAATACCTCAGACACACAGATTGAGAATCACTGTTGAGTCCTAGGCCAGCCTGGTTTACAGAGAGCTATTTGACAAGCAAATCTCCCATAGTGAGACTGTCTCATCCCCTTCCTACAAAATGAAAAAAAAAAAGGAGGAGACTGGGATTCTCTTAACATGAGAAGTGTTCCTTACTTGCTCTCTTTTAAAAGGCTCCCTGGTTACATGGCTTCTAGAAAGAATCAAAAACTGTCACTTTTACCCATAGACATCTATGGCCAGTGAATGGTTAGACTTTTAAAAGGTATCTATCAGCCTCTTGGGTTGGGAGTGGAGTATTAGGAGTTTGTGAGTAAGGCTGGGACACTAATGTCCTAGAAACCTGATGGGCAGATATTGATTTAGAAAGTAGAGCAGAAATTAAAAGTTTTCAAAGATGTATTACTTTTGCTAGAACAGCCATGAATGTCTCTGTAAAAATCACTTACAAATGTACATCTAGTGTGAAGCTGTAAAGAAGTATTATTATCACTAGCTGTGAGTGTTAGCTGGTAGAAGTGTGTGTGTGTGTGTGCACACACACACATATTCTCTGATGATTATAAAACTGTTAAAAAGAAAGTTTTGGTGATAATGAGGAATAATTAATCAAAAATTATTACAGAAAGAATTTATTAGGCCAACACATCAGTAGAAACGAGTCTTAAAGAGTTGGTGGGAATGTAACTGGGTCGTGTAATACGTCCAAAGTTACCAATTTCTGACGTCACTGACAACCTGTGGAATGAGGAAGTGTCTCGGTAATGACAGCACAAGGCTGGGCCTCCACCTCCTCTGAAGCCCGTGATTCTGGTACCCGAGAAGGTACTGTTTCCCACTTAGTACAGACCTTTGACCTCTTCGTTCAGATCTTTGCAAATTTAAAGTTCTCTGTTCACAGATACGGATGTTGCTGTTAAGAACAAGTAGTCACAGAAAGAGTGTTTATCAGCATCACGCACAGTGAATCTAACTATGCTCCTCCTGTAGTGACTGCATGTCTAATCTCATGAGGCACCAGCTGTCCTTTGAGAAGTTACAATACAATGTTAGGAGAAATTATTCTTCAGAATAGAAGAAAAAGAATCTAATTATCGGTTATATAATGATGTAATTCATACTCTGAAATCTTACAGCCCCAGAACATGAAAGCTTCATTTAAGGTGGAGGACAGATACTTTCCTATCATTTCTCATAATAAAGTGAATTATTTCAAGATTATAATGTTCATAATTCCAATGTATATGTTTAACTTCAAGATGTTGATGATTAGGTTTAATTTTTTGTTTGGTTTGGTTTTTTTGTTTGTTTGTTTTTTGAGACAGAGTTTTTTTGTGTAGCCCTTGATGTCCTAAAACCAGCTATGTAGACCAGGCTGGCCTCAAATTCACAAGATCCACCTGCCTCTGCCTCCCGAGTGCTGGGATAAAAGGTGTCCACCACCATTGCCAGGCATGTTTAATTTTTAATGGTACAGGCTGTCGAGGAATAATAGTAAGAAATACATTATTCATTTTGGCATTGGTTGTCATCAAACTACTAAAAAAGTAAGGATGAAACACAAAATAGGGTAGATGGGGTCATCTGGGTCTCTGAGGTGTGTGGCTACAAGACCAAATAACACAGAAAACTGGTGAGTATTTCAAAATAAACTGGAGAGGGCGGGGAGGAGACTTTACAGAGTACCTTTGCTTTGTTTTAACAGAAAAAGCAGCAGTTAGAACACATGTACCCTTGAGCCCATTCCCAACAAGGTTTTGGCCTCCACAATAACTCCTTACACTTGGCAAGTATTTCTTTCCAGGCCCCTTACAACTTTTACTTCTTCCCCATCACGAAGGTGGGGGGGGGCAGAAATCTATTTAGAACAAGATTGTTTTCAAATCAGAATCTCAGGTTATCTAAATACATTGTGTTTGTGCTTGCAGAAACATTGTCAAATGCCTGAGTGCAATGCCTGCTGCTGGAACTTGCTTTGCTATAGCTTGTCAGTTTAAAGTCCGTGAAGGTGTGGCAAGACCGACAGATGAGCACCAGCACTGCACATTACAGAGGCTCACACACAGACTTCAAGATAGCCTTTGGGTCATCGCTCCCTTTACTGTCCTTTCTGTGCATTTAGGGCACTGCTGTGGTCTGTCTAAGCTGTTCTCAAAACTTGTGAGGCAACAGAGTTGAGTCCGGGTTAGTCTAGGTACAGCGCTGAACAACTTCGGGGCACAAATGGAGTCTGCACCAAAAAAAAGTCGTGGCTTTCTGAAGAACAAGCTACGTAGTTAACTTCAGTAACTGGCTCAAGTCTGACTCTCAAAAGAGGATCTAGAAATGCTGAAACCAGTCCACTCAACAGCTGCATCTGCTTTGGGTTCCTCTTGAGCCAGCTTTGTTCAGGATTTGGGAGTGCTGTGTTGAGCCACTTCCACCGCCAGGAAGTTTCTTCCTCTTTGTATGTACTGCAACCTTTAAAGATTAAGTCCTTGGTGCTAGCAACTGGTGCCCAGGGCATCTTGGCTCCCTCCGGTCTCCATCCTGGGAACCCTTATTAGCCTGGTACTGAATACCCAGACACTTTAAAAACAGAGCCCTCGCAGTAAATGAAAGCGAAGAATGAGGTCCAGAAGCTGAAGTTTTTAAAACAGCCTGGTCTGGACACCTTCTCGACCTCTCAGTGGCTTGTGTGGTTGTAGTCCAGCAGGTGGATTCTCCTCGCCCTCTGGTGGCATCACCAGCAGCTAGAGGGAAGGGGCACACAGACACCAGCACACCAGGAGGGGGCGGTCAGCGCCCCTCTGTGAAGCGGGGACCCGTGTCACCATACTGATCACTCGTGAATTCTGACTGAGCAGCAGTACCGGATTCATAGGTGTGGAGCATAGAAAGGGGTCAAGTAGGAGGGCCCAAGGAAAGGAGTGAAGGGATTCCCGGTGGCGGCGGTCGTCAGCGGGAAGGAGGCGGCAGGGAAGAGGACGTTGGTCGCAGGATAGGTGGGGAAAGTCTGAAAGGGCAGAGTGCTAGGAACCGGTGGGCCAGGGCTACTCCCAGTGGCACCACCACTGCCCCCTGCCACCGCGCCGGGTGTCCCAGGCTGAGGCGCACTGCCTCCCGCCTGCACGGCGCCGTCGGCCCCTGGGTTCTGCTTCTTCCACTTGGTCCTGCGGTTTTGGAACCAAATTTTGACCTGCGTCTCGGTGAGGCTGAGCGACAGCGCTAGGTTCAGGCGCTCGCACACCGACAGGTAGCGCGTGGCTCGAAACTTGTTCTCTAGGGCCACCAACTGCTCATAGGTGAAGGCAGTGCGCGCGCGCCGTGGCTTGGCGCAGCTGGACTCCGCTCGCCGTCGTCGGGGCCGCGGGGAACCGGGAGAGCCGGGGGACGCCGGGAGGCCGTCCGTGCTGCTCTCCTCCGTTCCCACCGCCACTGCCCCAGCCTCTGGTAAGCCCGCGTGGACACCTTGCCAGCGCTCTGGTCGCTGGGCGCGTCCCGCATCCTCAGCTTCCTCCTCCTCTTCCGCCTCGGAGCCCTCCACCGAAGACGCGGGGTCAGTGCCTTGGCCCACCGCATCTTAAAGAGAAGGAGATGGTGACTAGAACAACTCTACCCAGCGGCACCCCCCCCCCCAACCTTGTCCTCCCTCAGAGCACTCAGATTTGCCTTTGGTCCAACTCCCAGTTCCTCCCCTCTGCCCACTTTGCCCACTTCGGTTATGAAACCACAAACTCTAGAGAGCAGATTCAGGAGTACTGTGTCCTCTTGCCCTTCACAAATCTGCCATTAAGTAAGCACACAGGAAGTACATGTTGGATGGCACCCCTTATCAAGAAAGTTTAGTGACTTTATCAAGCCGGGAAGAGCAAAGTCTGCTGTGCATTAAGATAGGGAATGCCAAGTGCGTTTACTATTGAATCTCCCTAGTCCCTAGAATCCTATGTTGGTGTGCAACTCCTAGCAATTAAAAAAGAAGTTATTAAACCCCCATCCCCCAAAAAAGAGAAATTCCCCCTTTCCCATCTTCTCTCTCCAGTCGTGTTAATAGAGTTTCAGATTTGTCCGGGGCCTGATCGATAGATGTCATCTATTAAAGGTAAGTTTTAATCGAACAATATTAGGATCAGACAGGGAAAGGGGGTTTGAAGTCAGTACCTGCAAGCTGCGGGCAGGAGATATGCAGGCGCCAGTAATAGAATATCGATCAAGGAGTTAGGGGGTGGGGAGCGCGGCCCCACAGAGAGACCATTCAAACAATTAATCCAGGCCCGCGGCCGGGACCCAAGCCAGGCCACCAGAGGCTTCCCGGGGCCCCAGACAATCACCTCCAAACTTAGAAAGGAGGAGGAGGGGGACTGTGCTGCATACAGCCTCCCCTGGGACCTGAGTCCCTAAACCTTAGGCGTCTCCCCAAATAATCAACCCCATGCCCATTTCCCACTCAAGGTGAATCCTGCTGTCTTAAGCTCTTCCAGCCACAAACTTTTTGGAACCTTTCCTTTGGTGTCTACCAACTTCAGGGATAAGAGGGAAAGGTCTAGAAGAGAGCACCAAAAGCTTGCTATTGACCCCCCAGTCGCCTGTTGGGTCCGGGAAAGGAGAGGGCATGGGCTCTGAAGGTGTTTCAGAGTGGTTGAAAATAAGCACCTAATCCGGGGAAAGCCCTAGCCTCGGTTGCCCCATACATAAAATGGGAGTGGTGTTAATGACACTATATACTTGGAAGGCGTTTTCATAACCTTTATCCCAGCTCCTCGCCCAGGTTCTAGCACGTGGAGAGCACAATACATTTCCGTTAGGTCCGTGAGCCTGAGCTGAACTTTATGTGAGCCAGTCAGAGTTCTGGCGCTCATCCGCTGAGCAAGTGTTTAGGAAAGAAGCACATACCTCTTCCTCTTCCAAGGAGGGATGCTTCATTTCATTTCGCACCTGCGCGGGTGCACCTTCTCTAGTTCCCAGGCTACTTGGCCACTACTACTACTACTACTAACACACACACACACACACACACACACACACACACACACACACACCATCTTAGGCTTAAAACAGCCTCACATTCTTACCAGGGGTCTCCTGTGACCCGATTGGATTCCCCGAGCAGGCATCTTCTCCTGCTTCCACCTCCTCTAAACTTTTCTTGGCTTCCAGGGCAGCGAGACGAACCGGCGGGAGGGCAGCTCGCGTGAATTTCTGCGGATCCAAGATGTCCAGGACGGAGAAGGAGATCTTGTGGTGAGATGGGGCCGCCTTGGCCCCGCCGTCCTGCCATGCCAGCATGCCCGCCTCCCGCGGGCCGGAGGCCAGCCGTGCGGGGTCCCGGATGGATGCGCTCAGCCTTATCTTCAGCAGTGGTTAGGCTACAGCTCTCCAGCCACGAACTGGAATTTCCCGGCCAAGTGAAGCTGGAGAGGGGGGCAAGGAGGCGGGGCGGGAGGAGAGCAGCGGGGGGCTGCTTGAGGATTGGCACTTGCGCTGGCCAGACCCCTTCCACTTGCAGGGAGTGCTTGTAGCCGCCACGGGAGTATCCTGGGCAGCGGGGGCCCCCCCCCCCCCCCCCCCCCAGTGCGGGAGGAAGACAGCTGGCCTGGACTAGAGGGACCCTGGCACGCCAATGCGCGCTCCCGGTTCGTGGGGTCACGGTAGCATGCTGCGTGAACGTCCTCCCATGCTGCGGAGACTTGTGAAGGGCGTGAGGGAGACTTCCATCCTCTGTACCCCATCTGCACACACATTCACCTAACTGAACTTTACTTATTTCTCTTGGGGTACTTGCTATCTGCCTTTGACCTGGAGGTGCCACAAAGGCCAGGCCTGATCGCTTGGCAATGATGCATGGTGGTGCATCTCATGCCCCATCCCTGAACCACAGTAACGGCTTCGGGCACAATTACTTAGAAATTTTAAAGCCTCTGAGCATTTACAGTTTATAAAGCCCTGGGGCTTTCTCACTCTCTTTTGATTTTCTAAGCATCCCCCCCCCCAACCGTGAGGTGGGCGTGGCCTGGAACCACAGTCTGGGGTTCAAAGAGAAGAAAAACTGAGGTTCAAAGATGAGCGGTGGCATTGCGGATGACAAGAGTCTGGACTGGGCCAGGGCTTTTCAATTCACCCTGATGGCTAGAGATATATAGGTTAAAAAAAAATTCTTCTTGGGGAGTCTTTCCACTCAGAAGACCAGCAGGGCCAGAAGTCAAAATGGTTTTATAGGAAATACACCAGCCCAGAGGGCTGAAGACTTAGGGCTAAGTGATTTGGCTAAAGGTGGATATCCCTCCTTTGAGTGACCCAGAGTACCGTTTTCGTTGCTCATCAGGACTTCTTCACAGTCACAGATTCCACCATTAACATCAGAAATTGACTCTCTGGGTTTCTGGCCCCTGTCCTTTCCCAGACGCAAGAAGGAAAAGGTTAAAAGATGCCCAGTGGTTTGAATTTAAGATCAGAGAAGAGAGACGATTAAAACGGCCCCATCTGCCCCCCAAGTCTCCAGGGAGGACAGCTGGCATCAGCGGTGAGGGAAAGCCTGCACTAGCCACATCCATGGTAATCTTTCTTTCTTTCTTTCTTTCTTTCTTTCTTTCTTTCTTTCTTTCTTTCTTTCTTTTTATTTTTTTGTCACAGCTATCAGTTTTAGGCATTCATTTCAGCGACAAATTCTGAAGCGTTAGCCCCTCTGCCCGAAGCCACCTTGGACCGCGCCGCTCCTTTCTTCTTTGCCCCATGCGGTTCCCAGACAATGTCTTGACAATTAATATTGTCTGCGCAGGTAAGAAGTAGGAAGAGGAGGGGACTCCTTCCTCACTAAAGTGCTGGGAGCTGCTAATCCAATCTGTTATTAAAGAAGTGTCCTCGGGGGCTTGCTCCTTGTAGCTTTTCTCATTCAAACCTTTCAGTCCCTCCTAGAGGTGGCCACCATATTCCCTGCCGACTTTAAAGCCTAGCCGAAATTCAAACCAGCTCCAGTCCTAAAGTAAAGACGGATTGCGCTTTTAAAGCGAAGGGAAGGAAGTGCCCAGACTAAGCCCACCACAACCCCTCCCAAGCGCCCCACCCCCCACCCCGCCAAAGGAATATGCGCCCGGTGAAACTCAGGGAAAAGACAACCCAGAGGTCCGCCCAAGGGACAATGCCTGTAAATCACAGCTCCTTCTGGAATGCACATACTTTGTTTTCTGTTTGGATAACCGTTTCTCACCTAGTTCCCACATTTTTCTTAAGTCTTCCGTTTTCTTTCTCTCTCCTCCCTTACTGACCCCAATTCCTTTTTACCTTTTTACACACACACACACACGCGCGCGCGCGCGCGCGCAATTAGGTTTTTAGGATACCTGGGAAAGATCTGCCTAGGGTCACTCATTCAGGAATCAATAAAAGGTTGTGTTTTTCCATGGTTCCTTGTCTCACCCTTTTCTCTGGAAGACACATTGAGTCATTTCATAGGAATGGGGAGTAGCGTTCCAGGGGATACCCACATCCCAAAGCAGAGGAACAGAACCCTCCTCCCCAGCGACGATGACACAGAACCGGGATTATTTTTTTGCACCTGCATTGTATTTCTTTGTTGTTGTTTACATTATATAAAGTGTTTTCTCTCCTAGGATTCATCTTTCCTTTCAAGTCTATGGTGCTAAACACAGAAAAGGGACAAAAAGGAGACAGTAACCAACTGGAGAGAAGAACAGAGAGACCAAGTTCTGTAGCCTGCAGATCTGTAGGCAGGCCTTCTTGTGGCTGATTTTAAATTCTCTCTTCATCTTCTCACCATTTCTCTTACGTGTGTTCACCACAGTGTGAGCCTCCAGGATTCCTGCTTAGTGCTTGGCTCTGGGTAATAAATGAGAAGGGAGAAGCATCGATGTGTCTCCATCAACACTACCTCACTCACTCAGCCCACAGGCAGACGCCCAAAGACCAGGGCACATCCTTCTGCTGATAGGGGAGTGGAAGCAGGAAGCTTAAGGGAGTCTTTTTTTTTTTTTTCTTGGTTACTTGTTTTGTACGGACCATAAGGCAATGAAACCTCCCTTGGGGGGCGGGGGGGGGGGGGGAAGTGCTTGACTAACTAACGTTCTGACACGTGTGTTATCCTGGATATTTCTCTACAATATGTGTGTTCACATCGGGCAAGCCATCTTCCCTCTGTGCATGAAGTTGATTTGGTTGTTGTCTTTTTTTTTTCTTTCTTTCTTTCTTTTCTCCCCTTCCCCCAGCCTGGGCATTAAAATTCCATTTGAGTGCTGTCTTTAAATTGCTTTGATGCTAGGTGGGTTCCAACTCTGACCTGTCCTGATGGCAAGTGATGGCTGTAACAAGCCCAGGATCAATATTCATAGCGGGTGTCCTGGGCTGATAACGCTATCCAAGACAATGTCCGCTATCAGTGTGGACAGCTGAGATATTGCGCCATTAGGGATGTTGTGTTAAATAACCTGATCCATTTCTGGGGCTATTTAATGAATTTCACAGCTTAGATAGTATCTTTAAGGAGATGGCAAAAGGCTATTCCAGAGGCACTGATGCAAATCAATGGTGCCAGGCTTCTCAGGCGATTGTCCAAACAAAGTGGCCTGTAATTCCCGCACAGCCTTGAGAAGCTGCCACCCACCCTGGGAGCAGGATTAACAACGGAGAGAAAGAATGTGCAGTTTATGCAGAGGGAGTGTGGGTGATACTATGAGCTGCATTCAGGTCCCTAAGATAAAATCATATGTTCCTGAAATAAGTACAAGTGGAGTTCTCTGTTTGAGCCAGCCCACAGGTTAGGACATACATGCCAAAGAGACAGCTTCATTAGACACAGCTGAAGGCCAAAGGGAGGCACTGACTATGGAGACAGGCATGGATACATTCCTCTACTTGGTACTCAGATGGCATTCCCCATGTGCTTTTCCAACTCAAACCACTGTATGAAGAGGGAAAAAATAAAGACACTGAATTTTAAAAAGGAAGCTGCTGGGCCTGGTGAGATGGCTCAGCGGTTAAGAGCACTGACTGCTCTTCTGGAGGTCATGAGTTCAAATCCCAGCAATCACATGGTGGCTCACAACCATCTGCAATGAGGGCAATGAGATCTGATGCCCTCATATGGGTGTCTGGAGACAGCTACAGTGTACTTGTAATAAATAAATAAATAAATAATCAAAAAAAAGTTTAAAGGGAAGCTGTTGACAGCAGCATCATCAACGTTTTGTTTACCTGACCCCAGACCCCCATCGCTATCATTTACAGTTAAGCCCTGTTGCTTACCTCCTCACTGGAGCATTGCACTCGGAATGCCAAGAAAAAAACAAGTACCGCTTTAAAACAAAACACTCCAGGGTCAGGTACAATTCTAACCCTTGGGAGGCAGAGGCAGACGGACTGTTGTAAATTTGAGGCCATTAAGTTCCCAGTCAGTCAAGGCTGCATGAGAAAACACCATCTGAATAATAATAATAATAATAATAATAATAATAATAATAATAATAAAGTAAGTAAATAAAACTGAAAAACAACAATAAATAACCACAAAATGCAAAACCATCTTGGAGACTTGATTTGTGAAAGATAAATTCAAAATGTATCCTTCCTAGGCTGGGATCTTAGTTCTTGGCTCAGCTGTTAGAGAGCTTGCCTTGCACGTATGAAGTTCTGGTTCGTTACCCAGTACCAGGTAAGTTGATGGTGCACATCTGTAATCCCAGCACTTAGGAAGTGGAAGCAAGAGGATCAGGAGTCCAAAGTCACCCTAGGCTACTCATGGGCTGAGCTATGTAAGACTCTGCTTCAAAATATGAATTTTTTAAAAGAACAAAAATATTAATCAAAACAAAAGTAGAGCCTGCCTGCCTTCCTCTAAACTGCAAAAAAAAAAAAAAACCCACATGTTTACATATTTCACTTTAAACAATAAAAGTGTGTCTTGTGGAAATCCGTAGGTTAAAAAACAACAACTTGTTTTTGATACAGGGTTGAGCTTCCTATGTAGTAGCACAGGCTAGTCTGGGGCTTATGGTCCCCCTGCCCCCTTCTCATTCTGAATGCTGGAATTAAAGAATCAATGTCTTTATCTTAAAAACTTAGAGGAAACATCAAAGCTTATTAAGCAATAGAGGGTTACATTGCTGAGCAGAACACATATTGATTGGTCCTGATAGTAATCATTGGTATTAACTCTATCCACTCTTGATTGGGTGCTTGCTCTAGACCAGGCTAGCAACCAATTCAAAATTCTGGAAAAGAGGGGTGAGTCAGAACATCCCATGGTCAGGGAACTCAGACAGAGTCTAAGGAGAAAGTAAGGTGAGCACCGGCTTTCATCTCTCTCTGCATCCTGGTTTTTATCTCTGTCACTTCCTGAGCAGTGACAGCTGCCTCAGGCTCCTGCTACCACGATGGACTGTGCCCGCACACTGTGAGCTCAGACAAACGGATTTTCCCATCAATTTGCCTCTTGTTAGGTATTTGGTTACAGCAAGGAGAAGAGAAATTATGACTATGGCTATGAGGCTTCCATGGCTATTTTGGTTCGTGTGGTGTAAACTAAATATCCTGGCATCAAATCAAGCTTCTTCAAAATCCCTGGGCCAGATATCATATGAGCCATGTATGTGTTGGTTCCCTGTCTATGAATGCTACCTCCTAAAAGGCTTCCCCTCAGTGGGACAGACGGTAGGGAGGGGGTCATTTGTACTAAATGACACCCCATTCCTGGCCTGCCCAATAACTAAATTTGGTTCTGTTAGCTCTAGTAAGTGAGCTGAAAACACCCAGTGACCTCAGTCTCCCAAGTGCTGGAATTATAAGTGTGCACCCTATGCTTGTCTTCATTTTGTGAAATGCCAGTATTGTTTCAAACTCTCCCTCTAAATTTTGTTCATTTGTTTTTGAGACAGGGTCTTTCTTTGTAGTCCTAGCAGCTTTCATGGAACTCTGTGTAGATGAACACACAGAACTTTGAACTCACAGAGACTCACTTGCCTCTGTCTCCCAATTCCTGGGATTAGAGGTGTACAATACTACACTTTTCCTTCCCTCTAAATTGATCACAGTTAGAGAACCCAGCCTGGCGCAGTCTTTATCACAGTGTCTTGTTCTTAGACTGACTTAAAGTCATTTGTCTTTGAACCCACCAATGTCCTTGTCTTCAGTAGGTTGAAGGATCAAAAGGAATAAATGGTAGTCTGATAAACATTAAGTCCAGTGCTTCACAGCTGGATGAAAATGGACTGGAATCCCATACCTTAAGAAGTGGTTCTAGGGCCGGGCGGTGGTGGCGCACGCCTTTAATCCCAGCACTTGGGAGGCAGAGGCAGGTGGATTTCTGAGTTCGAGGCCAGCCTGGTCTACAGAGTGAGTTCCAGGACAGCCAGGGCTACACAGAGAAACCCTGTCTCGAAAAACCAAAAAAAAAAAAAAAAAAAAA